TTTTTTTCTATTACCAGAAACCATTTAGTACGAAGTTTTGAAATGATCAACCGCTTTGGTTTGGAAATGAGATGGACAACAATCGCGAAATATCGCCCTACCTGAGAGACGTGGTAACTGTATTTGGATGATTTTAATCCTTACATCTAGTTTTGTACTTTTCTTTGTAGAGGAACGATCAGATCAGATGTTTGAATGGAAGGATTAATTGTCGCTACTCGGTCATCGTTATATTTAGTCTCCTTGTAAAACTGAAAGCCCCCTAGAATTGTTGATGCATTATTATATCAGAATACGTTATCGTCTGCCAAAATAAGATTCTTAGTCAAAACCGGATCCGTGTTCAGTTTATTTTGACACGTGATGTGCTAGCAACTGCTGCTTTTTTGTATGACTTTCGGTTCCATTGTAAACGGTAGATGAGCTAGCGAGACTTGGCCTCCTTCTTGCAGATGATCATGCCAACGTTGTACTTCTAAAATTCTGTGATGCTGCGTTAAAGTCGGCTAATGCAGGAAAATAGTACCACACAGCGACACCATCGAATCTTCAATATGTTTAACGATCAGCGCAGTTGGACATAGTTTCCTATTTTACACAGTCTGGGTTGGAAGGCTTAAGAACGGATATTCGTTGTAATCTTCAGAGAAAGAATGACTGGTATTTTTGCCGCGCTGTCTAGCCTCCAACTGAAAAATTACAATTCTTTACGAGAGTGATGAAAGGATGGCCCACCATGTATGAGAAACAATGACTGAAAATGATAGGAAAATCACCTTCTATAAGCCAGGTGAAGAAGTATGCCCTGATAATTGACATATTCAGCCATCCAGACCGGAATATCAATGCCATCGTCACTTTCATGATAGTACATATCAGTATGCATGCGGCGGACATCAAGTTGGCTCATACCATCGCAAATTAAATTTTATTCGGAGAGGCATTTTGTAGGGCTTGTTGCCATCTGCCACGTCAGCGATAGTCGCCGAGTTTGCAGGAATTAAGAAACAAACATTGCTCAGTCCAGGATAATGCGAAGTGTCATCGCAAGTGTGTGTTAAGCAACTGCAGGCAAGCATTGATTAGAATTTACGAAGCTAAAAACAAGAGATCAAAACTATGTATTTCAGAGTCAGACAAATTGAGGTAAATAAATCAACAACATCTGTGAAAAGTCAAACAATGGTCAGAGTGTAAAGAGCTTCTTAGCGAAAGAAACTTACTGAAGAAGCATTAACGGGATAAACAGGAATTGTCAATCGCAACAAAGTACATGGACTCGTAGCAGGTTGGAAAAATTGGTCGCTGACAAAGTACTAAAACAGCACCATTGACAGAGATCATTCTTTACTTATCTAAAAGCAATGGTTACCAGCTTAAGACCATATTTATTTTCCTCACTTCCTTAGAGGGGAGCAAAAATTTGCGTTTTCAGAATCACTTATCAAATCGCCGGCTGTCCACCCATCGTGTCCTCCAACGGCTGCCAACACAACCCCAGAAATCATGTCACCCTCCGTTAAAAACGATCGATGATGCCACGCCTACGTGTCGAAGATAGTGACGAACAGTGAGATGCTGCTGTGGCTGTTCATAACAAAAATCTTACCTTCAACATGATCACAGAACCCATAAAATGGACATTATTGGCCAAGAATGGTCGAGACTGCAGCGGATTCAGACTTTTTTCACCCTTTATGATGAAGTCCACACATTGTGTGACTGCGACTACGAAAATCAGATCATGCAGCATATTTTTTTCTGAATGCGCGATGGGAAAGCTCCACGGCAGCACAACACCTTCAGAGTGTACCGCAGCGGCAATTCATTGGCTTAGGAATCTAGACTTCAAACATAAAGT